TTACATATAAGAAAACCAATGGTTTTTATAAAAATTTAATGAATGATTGAATCGATAATATAATGCAATCTTAAAAACTCTAAACACTAAACGCAAGGAATGTTTGATTTTTTATATGCTTTATATATAATTATATGTGTAATAAAAATGATGGTTGTTTTGTTGAGTGGGGAAAAATCATTTTCAAACAAAACGATTCTTGAGATAAAAATGATTTGAATAATAACCACAAAAAAGTGTCAGATTTCGATGATTTGGGCGATTTTTCTCCTAAATATTTACACCAAAAACAACAAAATAAGTAAAAAGATGTGAAAAATCAACGCAAAAATTGTTTCGATTGTATTTTCGTTATTGTTTTTTGAAGAATATTTTTCCGATGATTTTCTTTTGGCACAAATCGTGTATTTTTATAGTCAATGGGAAACACAAACGAAGAGAAAAATGTGTTTTCGACGAAAACTCGTATATATTTTTCACTTTTTATTTAAATTTAATTTTTTTCTTCGTTTCTATTGGAAGACAGTGTGCATCACATCCCAGACAATGGTATGCGATGTCCACCACATCTATCAGACCGGTGTACTCAACGGTGTAGACAGGGGTGTACTCTGGGTTTTGTGTTGCAGTGTTGTCCTCCCGTTATTATGGGTCTATTGGGCGACAAAAACAGACAAATTGTTTCAATGTATTAAACTTTGCAATCAATTAATTCGTGTCTATATTTTTCGCAAAGAATATTCCATACATTAGATGTAAATGATGTAAAATAAATGCCATTCATTAGCGGCGTCTCTGAGCTGATGGTCTCGTCGTCGGTCATGACAATAGTCTGGTCGCCGACAATACTGACATTGTTTGGCGGCATTAGATATCGGTTCAGCTTCTTGTAGTCACTGGGCTGTAGGTTAGAGCCATTGGTTATCCAATCGTTGGCCATCCGCTCCACATATGCGTCCCCTTCTGGCGTACGTCTCTATCCGTATTGAAAACACGAAACAAAATTAATGATAAATACAATTGTCTTAATCTTATCTCAGATTTGTTTTGCAATATAATCTATGTTTTTCACTGAAGGATGAAAAAATTACTGTTACTTTTGGACACAACTCTATTTGTTTGTCATTCAGTGAAAACAACTTTTCCTCACTTTATAAATTATCACGTTTTGTATTAAAATTAATTAAATATTAATTAACAATAAAATCAATTTTCTATGTGTTAGCGAAAGCCTTTCTATACTGTATGTAGTGTTGAAACAAATGGTGATTTTACCTTTGCATGACATGTATGTCTGGCACTTAATTAATGCATTT